ACACTCTCAACTTTCTCTTTGTGAATTGATTTTCTTTAAAAATTGTTATTCAGTGTTTGCAATAGCAAAAGTAACACCAGTAAAAAGTGGAATAAGACTAGCTTTTTTGAAGAAAGGGACATTGCAGAATGCAAACCAAAGTATTACTTGGACATTAATTTTTAGTTTGTTTTTTTTTAATTACATATCAAATTAATTAACAGAAGTCATTATTCCATGGAAAACTGAGGTAATCTGCCTTTAAAAGAAGAAAGGGGAGGTAGGGATAGCTGACAAACTGTTCATCCTGAATAATACAGGAAGTAGAGGAAATTGAATAGGAAAGTGGAAAGGAGCAACTGACACATCCTAGAAAAAGGAAACAGTAGCATTAATATTCCTGAACTGTAGTGGTCAGAGACACCTACTTGGAATGGAAAGGTTCTCCTGGTTAGAAGTGCTGTTTGTAAAAGGTGTTATAGAGATGGGTTTGGCATTGTTTAACAACAGATAGAATTGGCTTCAGTGCCTGTTTCATCTAACCCTCTTCACATATTCATTATCTTCTGTAAGACTTCTCACATGCTGAACCTCTGAGTGACTTTCCATGAAGTGCAGTACTTTACTGCTATTTCCATCCAACTTCCATTTATCGTGCCCAATATGTGCCCAAACTCATACTGCTGTAGAACACAGATTCCATAGTAGCCAACACCAGATCCACATTTGAGTCCTGCTCGAGATCCTTTGTGGAACAGAGCTTCTGTTAGGAGTGACTTAAATACCTCCCTGAATCCATTAACTTGTAAGTACAGGATTTTGTGTCTTGTAGGGACTTATTTCACTGTGATCTGGCTAAAAGACTTGTCTTGAAGGAAATAACCTCATTATTTAGGCTCACTCAAGGGGGCTCTTTACAGAACACAACATAAAAGTGTTGAGGAAAAAAAAGAAACTAAAATAGTTTAAATAAACGTAGGAGTATCTTTTCCTCAGAGGACATTTTATCATTGACACTAATATCCCTGCAGGCTTTCTGTAGTCAGAAGCAGCAGCAGCATGTGAGCTCAGAAATTTAAAAGAAAGTAATCTGCAGAAGAAACTAGAGTTTCAAACAGCTTTCAGATATTAAAAGGGTTTATTGAGCAGAATTTTTAGCTTTGTCATTTTTGGAAGGAAAGGGGCCCCACTATGTTTGCACCAGACTGGAAGTTATGCCTACAGAACACGCAGCAGGAAAACACGAGTCTATTTTGCCCATATTCTGAGGGCAAGTGCAACTTTGATCCAAAAGCTAAGTGACTAGTGTAGGGACAGCTAATGCACTACTTTGGGTAAAGGCCAGGAAGCAATAACTGTCTTTGTTACCAACACTGGTCATGAAGAGTTTTATTCTAAAAGCAATAACCTTGTTAAGTCCTTTGTGAAAAACACTGTATTTATAAAAATAGCATGAACATTTGTATATGTCCGTACATATATATGTACACAAAATCTCATTTGTTTGCCCATAAATTGTCTTGATATATTAAGACAGTGTCGTACATATTATTATGGAAGAACAAAAGGAAGCCTAGTTGTGTAAGGAAGAAATATTTTAATAGAACAAACTTTATGAGAGGGAGGCACAGACAGATGCTTAGAACAGCTATCCCTTCCAGACTAAAGATCTGGTTCTGATTGCTAATCTTTCCACCTGTGCTACCAGACTGCGTTACTTGAAAGGTGGTGTCACTTTAAGTTCATTATTTTCTCTTACTATGACTAGCTGTTAATATTAAACATTTATGATCCTTCCTGTGGATCTGCACTGATGTAATTATACAAATTAAGCAAAAATATGCAAAAGTTAGGTTGTATCAAGAATTTTTTTTTCCTGCTTTCTTATCATGACTCGTTTCCTATGTACACCACAAGTTTTTGCTGAGGACTGATCTATGCTAATAAACACCTTCCCTATGGTGGTGCTGTGCTCTACCTTTAAGTCAAAGAGCAGCTGTAGAAACTGTTCTGAAATGCCTGTATTAGCTCTGGCACACTCTGTTTAGAGTATTCATGAAATGCACCTGTTATGGTGCATAACAAAAGGAACTGTCAAACATGGTGAGATTTTATTGTGTTTAGTACCTTTAGCTGAACCATCTTGAACTGATTTGTTTACTCCAACAGTTTAAATTGGTTACAGCTACATAAGTGAGTAAAAACTAATGTGATGTTGTCTGGGCTAAAGTGATAAGGGGAAAAAAATGTCATTTTAACATCTTTTTGTTACCAAGGAGATGATGAAGTAAGCCGTATTAATCAAAGAGGATACTTGTTGGACTACTTTTTAATGTTTGCTTTAGGAAAAGTACATTCTTGATACAGGAGACCTGGGACAACATGGTAGCTAGGAGGAGGAGAGTAATCAGGAATGCAAAATATTGCTTCTAGTAAGGCTGTTCCACAAAAAGGCTAAACCTGTGGGTGTATTTAGAGCAAAAAATTATATTTCAAGTGAACTGAATCTCAAATACATGGGGTCTTGAGATCTAAACTGGGCTGCTGCATTAGAGAGAGTCATGTTGGTGCTAATTCTGTTGAAGAGTTTGTAATCAGCCTTTTGGGAAACTTGTCTCTGAGCTTGCTTATATTCAGAAAGTTGCTGAAGTCTGTAGTTGCATTGGAGAAGTTGGGTAATTTACTGCTTTCATGACAGCCTAGTTGCTGAGCAAATGGTTTCTAATGATTTATAAGTGGGACTAGAGGAACTGGCTTTTGCAGAAGAGCAACAAAATGGTCAATCTGTTTTCATAACCTTACATCTGAAACAATGATAGATGGACAGTATTGTTAAAACTGTGCATGGTAAAGCTATTTTGCACAGTACCAGGTTAGCTGTGTTAAATCCTGGGATATTGGATTGAGAATAATTCAGAAGTCATTTTGGTGACTGGGGAAGGAAACTGGGAATACACATGACAGTTACTTAAGAGGTCTGTTACTGGCAAAGCTTGTAAGTAAGTAATGGCCAGTCTTTGCGAATGAAGAACCGGGGAAGGTCTTTACACCTTCCAGCCTGCGCACTGGATTTTTTTTTTTAGGTGAGACACAGTGTGCGCGGAACTGAGCCCACCCTTTAATCCTGAGGTTCACCTGCCGGGGCCAAGCGAGCTTGGACGGTGGCAGCGAGGTCCTCAGGGCGTAGATGGATTGCCTTCCAGGGCTAGCGAGCTCCATCTGCCCGGGGAGTGTCCTAACCGGGAATCGAACCCGGGTCTCGGCGTTGACAGCGCCGCGGCCTAACCACTGCACCACCAGGGGCACTCACTGGCAAAGCTTGAATATCTTTGCATTGGGTTGACCCTGACCACCCACCAGCTGACTAGACGCCCACCAGCTTCTCACTCACTTCCCTCTCCTCTTCCGGTGGGATAGGGGGAGAGAACTGGAAGAACAAAAGTAAGAAAAATTCATAGGTAGTAATGAAGACAGTTTAAAAAGTGAAATAAATAAATAAATAAATAAATAAATAAATAAAAACAAGTGATGTAAAGTCTGTTATGCACTATGTCCCACCATCTCAGTCCCCTCCAAACATCTTTCTCAGTCCCAACCTACTCCCTGAGGGTTCAGAGTGAAAACCAGAAAGGGTCTTGGTACTGTGAAATCATTGCTTGACAACAGCTGAAACACTGGTGTGCTACCAACACTGAGTTAGTCACAGATACGGAGCACAGCCCCACATGGGCTGCTAGGAATCATCCCAGCTAGAGCCAGTACAATCTTTTGCAGAATCTAGGAAAATAGAAATACATTAAAATAACTTCTTGAACAACTGTACCAGGTTAATGTAATTAGAGTACTGAGAAGATGGCATTTGAGTATGGAAAGAACCATGTTTAGATTTTACTCTCAGCAAAAGATACAGTCTCTGCTTCCTGAGAATACAGATTCCATTCCAGTCCATTGTGTCTGAACAATACAGGTACTATTTTTCTGTATAACAACTGGGGACATGGAGAATAGCATAAAATATCTACTGTCTGATATACCAGATCTTGTGTTTTCCTTTCTTTCTTGTGTGAGTGAAGACATTCAAAGGTTCTCATTTTTTTTTTTTGCCAATACTTGTGGTATTTCAGATTAAGAGAAAGCAGCAACAAATACAACCCTTAGGCCTCACCTTTATTTGTCATCTGAAGTGGCTTCCGAAATGGCTTGTAAAGCATGTTAAGGAAAACATTAAGTCAATTAACTCAAGTATGTCTGTGAAATGCAACAATGCAATATTCCACTGGCCATTGCAATTAAAACTTCTGTGTGTATGCACTGACCACCACAACTAAGTGGGAAAGTAGGACTTGGTACTTAATGTCCATTTTTTATTTAGTTATTTGCTGCAAATTGTTGCTCTTTTGACTGTGAACTCATCATCTTCATCAGATATAGGTTAAAATAACTGAAATTTACATTTTTTCTAAGTTCAGTGTCTTAACACTCAGACATTTATATGGCAGATAGTAACATCCACTCAGGAGTAGTATGAGTAAAAGTTAAATCTCTACAAGCTTTTTTCCAAATGATGCACATCTGAAAATTTTAGGTTGCGAGTAGCCATAGCAAGGGTAACTTCAGGTGAATGCTTGGGTGCCTGTAGCTTAGAGTCATTGCAAATAGAAATGGTTTGCTGTCTTTCTTTTCTGATTAGTGAAATGCTATCCCCAAGAGTTGTCACAGCAGCTGTGTTTCTCATCTAAATAGTATTGTACCAGATTGTGTATAAATATTGTCATTGACTAGTATTCCCATTAATGGACTGCTTAGGTAGCCTGATTAAGTTCCCATTTGACCTTCATTGAAAACATTAGTATACCAATACCTTTTTTTTTTTTTTAACTAGTTATTTAAATATGTTTGTTGTAGATTTGAAAGCTGGATTTTTAATGTGTTTTCTTTTAATCCATTCCTTGCCTCCAGCCTGCTATTTGGTTTGATTTGGAAGAAAAAGAGTAATTTTTTTAATCCCTTTTGCATTATAGGTTAATCTTCGAGCCACTGATGTGAAACTTATGCGCCAGCTCCTCATCATCAATGAAAGTATTGAATCAATCAAGTGGATGATTGAAGAGAAGGCCATCGCCAGCAGGGGCAGTAGTTTGAGTGGCAGCCTGTGCAGCTTGCTGGAAAGTCAGGAGACATCCCTGCATGACAGCTGTAACAGTTTACAAGACTGTAGTGATGGACTGGATGGAATATCAGTGGGGAGTTATTTGGACACCTTAGTGGATGATGTCCCTGGTCACCAAACTCCTTCGGATATAGACAAGTTCAGTGATTCTTCTGTTACAGAGGACCCACAACCTCTTCACAAACATCCCAAAATTGATTCTGATGAGTACTACTGTTTTGGCTAATAAGAAAATGTTCCAGTGGGACACAAATGCACTTATTCTTTTTCTTTGCTGCTATTTTATTTCATGTGCAAAAGCCCCAAAGTTCTCTTGGCAAGAGAACATAAAATGATACTTCAATTCTACTGCCTAAATTTTCTGTTGCTTCTAATGCATTTTCTGCTTGATAGGTTGGGCTTTTCTTCTCCTCACATTTTCTTAATTTATTGTCATAATTTTTCTTTCTATTTTTATTTTTGTTTTAATTTTTTACATTGCTGTATTTACAGGTCTTTAAAAGTGCTGAAGAAAAAGCTTTATCTTTAAAATGAGACATCAGGGAATGGGAGCAACAATATTGTCTTTGTTAGCAATAAAATACCTTCTAAAAAATATATGTTGCCATAAATTTTATTGACTACCAGGTTCGGTCTTTTCAAAGACACTGTTCTTACTGAGGCTTAAATCTGAATCTTGAAAATACCTCTGAAAGTATTTTTTCTTTTATAAGCAATGAAATTTGGTTCCGTTAGGCTGTCTTCACTTTAAATATAAAATATCCTAAACTTTTCTGTGTGGGTTTCTTTCTTTTTGCAGTGTTCTCATGTCTCTTGTCTAATTTTGATGTTAAATTCTGATTCTATAAGTTTGCTTTTTTATTCAGCAGTATTGCCATGCTGTCATTTTGTTTCCTTGTTTGTCCTTTTGTTACTTGATTTACAAGTAAGAGTTTGCTTTCACCTTTTTGTGCTTATTGGTGCAGTTGAGAGCTGCAGCTAGTTGGTTATAATAAAAACAGCTGAGAACTAAAACAGTTACTCTCCTGGTCCATACTTTTGTGCAGAAGACTAGGAGGTAGATTTTTCTTTTAACTGCTTCAGAAATATAATAAACCCCCAAAAGCTTTATCCTTCTACAGTAAGAAAAAAATAGAATAAAAGAAATAGAATTGAACTAGACACTTTAACACATAATGAATGTGTATTTCCAGAGTACAGATAGCAAAAGAGGTATTGAAACTTACACATCATCTAAAAGTGTTCTCTTTTGCCATATCTGATGGCTAACATGAAATTTCCTCACCGAAGAAGGTAATGTTTGGTAAGTATGAGGCAGTCTCCCATTTGAGAACTTTTTTACACTTTCTGAAGGAATAAAGCTAGCACGTGCAGCCATATATGTATGTTGTTTTGGTTCATTCTGAAATAAAGTAATAATCCAATAAGGTTTTGCTCTTCCAAGCCATGTTTCTGTGGATCTGTTTTGTCCAGTACTGAGCAACATTAAATGTGAAGAAGAGGTAAAAAATCAAGAAATTGAAAGTGGCAATTTATGCTTTGTGGGTTAGCTCCATTGCTGCTTAATATAAAAGATGTCCGTGTCTTTCAAAATTAAAAACCAAGACATGTATATTTTGCTTTGGATATCATGATTTCATCAAATAATGAAGAAATGTGTTTTCCAAGAATGGGCCTTCTCAGTTCTGCTTCTGAGATCAAGCTGGGTATTTCAGATTGCTTGAGGAAAAATGGAGGCAAGCCCTCAAATAGCAATGCTGTGCTGATTTAACTTTTTTTAATTCCTTCCCAAGTTTATGACTGCTGGACATAGCTTAAAAAAAAAAAAAAAAGTTTGAATTAAAAACCTTGGGAAAAATTATTTCTCAGTATAACTTTAAATAGAACTTCAACTGTGAATTCAAAATAGGTTTTACTACTTTAAATTATTTTAATCTAGGGAACAGAACTAAATCCCTAATATAAAAGTATGGCCATCTTGAAAGGTTTTTCTAGCTTTATTGCTTGGCATGGAAGTTAAATATTGGGATGGCTACTCCCTCTGAATCTAATGAATGTGCAATGTATAGAGTCTTTTCTTCCTCAACTGAGATTTTGGGCAGCAGGCCAAGAGGCACATAAAATTTTTCTACTATGTAAAAAATTAAAGAATATTCTTAACATACCTTCTCAAATATCCCCTTAAGTTACACTGAAATTACTTCAAGGAAAATACAGCCTATAGCTGTCACTCACCCATTCACAGCTGTAATACTGGATAAAGAGTAATTACATCAGTGATAGATTTATCACATTTTGATTTAGAAGTCAATTTAAATGGGAATCAAAGGTGGAGGAGAAAAGCCTATTACTAGAAGTGGTGAAGTAAAAGCTGTATGTGATTAGAAGCTTATATTCCTCCATGTCTTTAATGGAAGTGGAGAAAGAGTACAAATGCCAAAACAGAGGTGTCAGCAGACTGTTAGAAGTAAACAAGAATTTCCATGTGTTTGTTTCTGATATCCAAGAACATGAACACCTTGGGTTTTATTTTTGAAGCATAAAAACTTCAAATATTTAGGTTTGACTTAGATTCTTTAATTTCATTAAGAGGATTTCATAGTCAGTAGTTTACTCTGACTTGCCACTTAAGACAGATCATGAAATTTGATCATCTCTTAAATTTAGTCAAATAACTTACACCTGAACTAATACTTGACTGTTTAGACAATGGAAAATGTTTGGTGCTCCTTAAAAAGTATTCACATTGGGTCTTCAACTTTGGTTTTAAAGTTTGCATATTTCTTCCAGCTTCCACTTTATTGAGTTGACCTTGGTCTTGCAAAATCCTTGTATGGTAAAAAGCGATCTGGGTGCCCTCTTCTAGCATGAGCTTCCTTGTAATTTTTTATCAGATTTACAGAACTAATAAAAAGGATTCAGTAGTATTGAGCAAAGTATCTGAAAGTACTTTACAAAGCTATGTTTGTTTCAAATGGATAAAAGCAACAGTACTAAAAAAAGGGTAAAAATAGCAAACATAATTTATTATTCTCTGTCACTTTCTATCAGCTTGGCTCTTATGACACTCAACTTGTTTTCAGGCATGATAATTTCAAGATACTTTGTAAAATCACAGGTGATGAGCAACAGCCAGTCCATTCTTATTTCCATACCACTGAAGTTTTGTCTTTGAAAGACATTCCACTATGGAACCTATGTAATTCAGAGACAATAAGGAACAGTCAAAAATAAGGTAAATTGATGCTTTCTGTTTTAAAATGACCATTTCCTGCTAGTAATAGGAACCAGCTAGTAAGTGGATGTGCTCTGGTTCACAAACAAACTACAGAAGCAGGGTGGGAAAAAAAAAGCTAACATTTCCACATCTGAAAACTGCAGTTCTTCAAAGATTCTGCTGAGACAGTCTAGTTATGAAGTTTTGAGGCACGTTCAAAAGAGCAATTAAGATTCCTTAAAATCTCTCTGCCAGGTGCCAGGTCTACTATTGATCTCAAGGTTACATGACTGTGTTTCTACAAATGCTGTGAAACTATGAAGAGCCAAGCAGGAGCTCTTGCATCTTCCATCAGTGGGCCCAAAACACTACACTGGGAGACCAAAGGCAGAACAGCCTCTCTGCATTTGGAAGATGAACTAGCATTATTCTATGAATACAAACAAGATGACTAAAAAAACCAGAAATCTGGGGTATCTTAAAATGAGGCCTGACTTTTGAAGGGAGTGTTAAAATGCTAGAAGAACCACAGAACAGTTGTTTGAAGTTTCAAAAATTTTTCTCTGCATTTCCCTTTTAAAGGAGAACTGGTTAGTCAAGATGGGTGAAGTGCAGTCTGAAGTAATGTCTGGTTACACCATGTAACATCTCATATAGCCTTATATAATTGACTGGGAAAGTGTGTGTGTGGGGGGGTTGTTCAGTAATCTTAAGCAGTTACTAAGCTGTCAAAAAAGCCTATGCTAGTATTTTTCATCTTGCCAACACTTCTGAACCAAGTCTAAAAGATGGGTTTTTGATATAAAGAATTAACATATACCCAGTAAACATGAGATCAGTAGAAACATCAATCACCTTACAGCAAAGGAGGCTTTGTTTTGTTTTAGATGTGCTCTCTTTGAGCAAGTTTGTCTTTCTCAGAATACCTATGAATTGACTATAGAAACAGTATAAGAGCATCCTGCCCTGAAACAAATAGAAGCTTTTCCCTTACGTAACTTAAAAAGAGATTAATGCTGCCTGCACTTGACTCTCTCATTGGCCAAGATTAAATTTCCCTGCTAAGTATGTCTAGAGGGAAAATAAAACAATTTCTTTGCTCCCCATGGAATTTTTTATACTATGGCATACCACTAATCTGGTCTTCAGGACTGGCATTTTCCTATAATCTTGCTTGGTTTCCTTGCTTCAGTTTCAAAAATAGAATGTTTGAAAAGATGGGTCTTTTAGTTACAATTAGGGAACTACATGAAACAAATATCTGATAAATACTAGTGTCAGAATTTTGAGTTGGGGGATGGGTTGTTGGTTTGTTGTTGTTGGGGGTTTTTTTGGGATTTTTTTTATTTTCATTTTGTTTTGTTGTTTTGTTTTGTTTGGGTTTTTTTTTCAAAAAATTAGCTGCAAAAACTATTTTGGTATTCCTGAGCAATTTTTTAATATCCCCCCCC